CTCCCCCATGTATGACGACTCCTACGTGCCCGGGTTTGAGGACTCGGAGGCGGTGAGTGCCCACGGTGGGTGGGGGCGGGGAGGTGGGGGCTGCGCCCCCCCTCCCCAGGATCCCTCCTGCGGTTCAGGACTTTGGGGGGCAGGAGGCTGGGGGGTCGCCGCAGGGAAGGTGGAGGTGGATTTTCAGGTCAAGGGCTCCCCAGTACCCCTTGGCGTCGGTGGCAGTGGGGGGCAAGGCTCGAGCAGGTGGCTGGACAGGGTAGAGGGAGGCCAGGCTGGAGGCCAGGACACTGGGGTGCAGGGGGCACGCGCTGCCTGGAGTTCCGAATCCAAACCTTCAGTGCCTCAGCACTGGACAATTTAGGGAGGCTAGGAGCACAGCAGAGGACGGGGACGCCTCTCCGAGAGAAGGATCACAAAACTTGAGGCTCTCCATTATGCCCTCCCCTGTTCATCCTGAGCGTTGCCGGTCCCTCGCCGAGCTGAGCCTCAGCCTAGCCGCCCTCTGGCTGCATATGAATGCCGGGCCCTTGGGTGGGCCAGCTGGCTGGGCCCTTGGGTGGGCCAGCTGGCTGAGCCCTTCGTTCCCTGCCTCCCGCCGAGGCGGCTGCAGAGTGGGGGGCATCCTGCTTCCTGCCCAGCATGGAGGACCTAGAGGTGAGGCGGGAGAAGCCAAGGGCCTGGGGATGGAGAGGAAGCTCTTTGCTCAGAGAACCAGGCAACTGATAAATATTTAATTCTCCTCTTTGCTTTTATCTCCTGACCCACTGAGACGAGTCAGCTCATTAGGCAGAGATTCCCGGAGCTGCAAGAGCAGGGAGAATGCCTGGAAAGAGGGGGCACAGATGATGGGGCGCATCTCAGCCCCTTCCCTCCAGCACCCTGCCAGGGGGACTTCTCAGGAAAGAGCCACTAGGTGGCCTGGAAGAGGCCCTGGTAGGGACAGAGGGTAGAGCTCCCCAGGATCGGAAGGGGAGTGCTGAGTCTTCTCCCACCTCCGGGAATAGCTGAGTCCTGGGGGTCAGAACCGGCAACTCTGTCCTTTTCTGAGGCTGGGCTCCTGCTGGGCCCAGTTCCCCACTGAGTTTCTGGGGCTAATTACATCGCAGCTAGAGCAGATGCTTTTCAAGGCTCTGGTGGACACCTTTCTAACGGTTGAAGGGACAGCTGGCGTGGCCCAGGGTGCCAAGGTGAGCTTGAGAACAAACCTCTCCCTGGGCCTGAGGGCCCTAGAAGGTTCTTCCCATGTCTGGTGAGAAGGGCTGTTTAGTTGTGATGGGTTTGCCAGCCAGTGTGTTGGGTTTGCCAGCCAGCTCATGGCACCCCTCTGGTTCCTGGATCACCCTCCCCCACTGCCCTTTTTCTTGCCTGGCTTTCCCTGAGGCCCCCTCTGAAGCAGTAGGAGGGAGATCAGGCTCTAAATAAATCCATGGGCTCATCTCCCTCCTCTCCTTCCCCCTGCCAGGCGGGAGTGGCGCTGCAGCCTGCCCACACACTCACCAGGCAAGGGGGCACCACCAGGGCACTGTGCCAACTCCAGCAGCTCCCAAGTACTGAACCTCTAGAGCTCTTTGGGCAGAGGAAGGGGTAGGGAGACAAGGCCCCAGAGTGTGCTTAGCAGGACATCCCTGGCTCCCCAGGGTGGCTGGGTGTGCGCGGGAGAGTTGGTGATTTGGGAATAATGGAGAAGGGCTCCATCCTGAGCGTGCCTCCTTAGCATTTAGGGAGAGCGCTGTCATTGCCATCCTAGGGGAGGGCCTAGGTGACCCGCATGCCTGCAAGGACATGAAGATCCTAAATTAGGCTGAGAGCCCAGAGAGCGACTGCAGAGGTCAGCTCGTGTCCCATCTAGGCATCTAGGGTGCATCGGATGTTGCTGATCGAAGTGAGTGGTCATCCTGCCGGCTGGCCTGTTGGCCCCGTTGGGGCACACATAGCCTGTGTCCTGAGACCCCTGAAGAGGGCCCCCTACTCTGACAGTGCAGAGGCTCTTCCTGGGGCTTTGCCTCTCTTTTCCTCCTTCCAAGCCAGCCTTACTTTGGTCTCAGGAGATGGGGGTCAGTTGGCAGACTTCTATAGAAGGGCTTTTCTTCTCTGAGCTACCTCCATGTCTTTGATGTTGTTGTTTTTAAGATTTATTTATTTATGCATACAGAACTGGGGTACAGGCCAGAGGCGTGAGAGGATTCACCAGAGACAGTGGGGAGCAGAACAGGCAGATCCACGAAGCACACTGCTGAGGGGAGTAGCGGGCGGACCAGGAGAGGTCTGCCGCGCCATGTGGGTCACCTCCGGGGCTGGGATCGAACTCACACTGAGGTGGCTGCGGCCAGCTTGCAGTGCTGTGTCCTAACCCGTTGTGCCACCAGGGAGGGCCTTCCATGCCTTTGTTTTACCACAGACTTTGTCTTTAGCCTGGACTCTAGCCTAGGCTGGTATCGCCATGACCAAACCTCGTGCCCAAGGTGGAGCTGGGGTAGAAAGCATGGGATGTGAGTTTGTCTTCTCCAAGTCTGGCCTCTCCTGACTTCTGTAGATGTTCCTCCATGGTGGGTTTGAGGGAACGTTCCTCAGCCTGAGAATATTTGAGAACCCTTTCCCCTACACGTACACACACACTACTCTTGTAGGCTTTGCCTTATCCCTGCCACCAGCACCTTGAGTTGATAGAATTACCACACAGACCTTTGTCCATAAAGAGGAAAACTGAGGCAGAAAGCACAAAGCACAAATGTCCCTTTCCCCTAGGCAGGGAGAGCCCCACGGCCAGGCAGCCGCCCTCAGCTGCAGCCGCCCTCAGCTGCACCCTCCTCCAGTGACCCTCCTCTGGGTGTGACGGGGGGACTCTCCTGGCCCAGGTCACCAAGGACTGTCCCGGCTTCTATCCCAGGGGTCCGGTGTTACGGGGTTGCCTAGCACCCACACAGCCGTCCTCCAGGACTGATACCCCTTCGGGAAGGGCTGGGTAGGCGTGGCTCTGGGCTGCGGAGCCCAGGGACACAGCTTTGTGTTGTCTCCTCTGCCTAGTTTGCTTCACACACCTGGCCAAGGGCCCTGGCAGGTGCAAGAGGAAAGTGTGGGGCAGGGACTGGGAGCGGAAGTAACTTCCAGGAGCTGGCAGCTCTGTGTGCTCCTCACCCTGGAGGGCTGGTGGGGGCGGGGAGAGCTAAAGGGAATGAAGAGTTAGGGCCTGACACTGGGCCTAGTGGGTGCCATGCCAACCAGCAACTTCTGATGCTCCCAGCTGGCTGTACTGCCAGGCATTTTAAAGGGAAAATATCCAGGCTGCCTTGTCTGATGTGAACAGGAGGGCTGGGTCTCCGGGATTCAGAATAACCTCAACTATCTTCAGTACACCTCCCTTCCCTCTGCCTCCCGGGACTGGAGGACTCAGTAGAGGGGAGGAAGGGAGGAAGGAGGGACGTGAAGGCTCTATTCAGAGCTGCAGTATTAATAGCTTGGGGGAGGGGCCCAGGTCTTTGCACATATTGATTGGGCTGCTTTCCTGCAGCCCCAAAGGCACCGGGGCCCTTCTCAAGGAGATGGGGGGAATCTTTGGGGCCAAGGCACCCCCATTTTGTGGAGGCTGGGCTAGAGGAGGTGCCGCTGTAGGGCTAGGAGGGTACCCCTGAGTGCCCTTCACACTTGGGCCCACACCGCAGCTTCTCCCCTATGCCAGGGCTCAGCCGACTCCTACACCAGCCGCCCGTCGCTGGACTCCGACGTCTCCCTGGAGGAGGACCGGGAGAGTGCCCGGCGTGAGGTGGAGAGCCAGGCCCAGCAGCAGCTTGAAAGGGCCAAGGTAGCACCTGCAAGCTGGGGCAGGCAGCTGGGTGGGAGCTGTGATGGGCCCTAAGAGCCAAGGAGCCCATGGGTGGGGGGGGGGCAGGTCGGTGGGGCCGCCCCACTGCTGAGGGGGCACTGAGACTGGAAGGGGTGCCCTGAGGCCCCCTCATTTGCACCAGCGATCAAATTCCACAGCATAAACCTGTGGCATTTGCTGTGAGGACCAATGTCAGCTACTGTGGCGTACTGGACGAGGAGTGCCCAGTCCAGGGCTCTGGGGTCAACTTTGAGGCCAAAGATTTTCTGCACATCAAAGAGGTAACCGACCCCCCCACCCCCCAAGAGAAGCCGCTTCATAACCCTGCTCTGGCCCTGTTCCCACGCCTCTTCGGCCCTCATTTACCAGAAAGCCCACAAGCTCCTCAATTCCGGTCCACATACCTGGTTCACCCCTCGTATCCAGAGACCTAATCGGGGTCTTCGTTCTTGAAGCCTGGCTCGGGCCTCGGCCTCCTGGTCTGGAGGGGGGAAAAGGGGTGGCCTCCATGCCGCCCACTGCAGCTTGCCAGCGCCCTTCCCCTGGCGCTGCCCGCTGCCTCACTGGCCTGGGGCCGCTCTCCCTAGACCGGCCACCTGCAGGCCTCCCTGGCTCCTTCACTTGAAGATCCAGGACTGAGGCCCCCGGTGCCTCCTGACCCTCCCTTCCTGCTCACCCCACCCCCAGAAGTACAGCAACGACTGGTGGATCGGGAGGCTAGTGAAAGAGGGGGGGGACATTGCCTTCGTCCCCAGCCCCCAGCGCCTGGAGAGTATCCGGCTCAAGCAGGAGCAGAAGGCCAGGTGAGCGCTGAAGCAGGGCCGCGGCTCCCACGCACGCCCGAGCGTGCACTTTACTGGCAGCGCTGGTAGCTGTGTCACTGCTGTGCATGTGTCACCCCGACATACACGCACCCCAGTGTGCACAGTTTAGCACACACATCCACACATGCACCTTCCTCACCCGCTGAGACGCGGGACAGCACACAGCCACTGCCAAGGGAGATAACGGCGCTGACCTCCCTTTCTCCTCTCAGGAGATCTGGGAACCCCTCCAGCCTGAGCGACATTGGCAACCGACGCTCCCCTCCGCCATCTCTAGGTAGCCTCCCCTCAACCCACCTGTCTTGGTAGGTGGGTAACTAAGCCCCTGGGACAAGGGGACTTTCCCCAGGTGAACTGTGTGGGCAGGGCTGGAGGAGGGACAAGAAGCTGGGAGAAGCCCAGGGCACCCCCCTGCTCCCCGGGAAGGTCCTCAGGGCCTTCTCCCCCTTCACCAAGTTTAATCTTTTATTTCCTTTTCCAAAAAGCCAAGCAGAAGCAAAAGCAGGTGAGTCAAGGAAGGGCCTTGGGCTGGGGGGTCACAGCATAGGACTGTGGGGTCAGGTTCCAGGCAGTCACTGCTGGAGGGGCAGCCCAGGGCCCGCCCAGAACCTCCGATCTGCTCCCCACCAGACAGGCGCAGGGCAGGCCGCGGGGCTGTGACTGCGCCTGACTTCACGTTCACCACGCAGGCGGAACACGTTCCCCCGTATGACGTGGTGCCCTCCATGAGGCCCGTGGTGCTGGTGGGACCCTCTCTGAAAGGCTATGAGGTAAGGGGCCCTCTGGCAGGCGGCCCCTGGGCGGGGATGTTCACGGGGCTGTGGGGAGGCGGGCTGCAGGGCTCCTGCCCTCTCCAGGAGGACCCTCGGCGAACTGCTCGCTTCCCCCACCCAGGTCACGGACATGATGCAGAAGGCGCTCTTTGACTTCCTCAAACATAGGTTTGACGGCAGGTAAGCGGGGACAGCGTGAGCGGGGAGCCCGCTGCCTGTCCCAGGCAGCGACGGCTCCTCTACAGGGGAGCTAACAGGCTGGGCGAGGAGGGACCGAGGGCGTTAAAGTCAGGGTGCGTTGGGTTCTCTGCTCCCACCCAGGATCTCCATCACCCGAGTCACGGCTGACCTCTCCCTGGCAAAACGATCAGTGCTCAACAATCCGGGCAAGAGGACCATCATCGAGCGCTCGTCCGCCCGCTCCAGCATTGGTGAGGCGCCCGCCACCCTCCTCTGCTCACCAGGCCTGGGAGGATTTCTTCCTTTTGCGCCCTCCCTCCCCTCGCCCCCCATTGACGGAGCCCCCCCCCCCCCCCCACCCCATGTCCTCAGGGCCTGTTCTGCCCGCCCAGGCCTTGATGAGCCTCCTCGTCCTCCACTTCTTTCTTGCCCACTATTTGGGCACCTTAGAGCAGAGGAGAAGAGAAGAGGTGGGTGAGCTGCTGCAGCATCGCCTCCCTCTTGCTCTCCCTGTAGCTGAAGTGCAGAGTGAGATTGAGCGAATATTCGAGCTGGCCAAATCCTTGCAGCTAGTGGTACTGGACGCTGACACCATCAATCACCCAGCACAGCTGGCCAAGACCTCCCTGGCCCCCATCATCGTCTTCGTCAAGGTGTCCTCGCCAAAGGTGGGTGGGCGCAGCGGGGACCGCAGCATGTGGGTCTCACGCAGGTGCTGGCACAGGGCTCCTGGAGTAGAACCGTCTGGAGGCCCCTTGGCTTGCTGCTGCGGCCGTATCACCGCGGGGGGCCTCGCCCAGTTCCTTCTGGGTCCAGCTGCCCCCAGTGACGCCTGGCCTCACGCTGCCCCTTCCCCTCAGGTCCTCCAGCGCCTCATCCGTTCCCGGGGCAAGTCACAGATGAAGCACCTGACTGTACAGATGATGGCTTACGACAAGCTGGTTCAGTGCCCACCAGTGAGTGCTGGGGTCGGCTACACCTGTGCCCACTCTTGCCCGTCCAGGGCTGGGGCTCTGCTGGAGATGGGGTGGGGCTGCTGCTGCTGAGAGGGAAGCCAGCGCCGCCTCCCCCTCTGCAGGAGTCATTTGATGTGATTCTGGATGAGAACCAGCTGGAGGACGCCTGCGAGCACCTGGCCGAGTACCTGGAGGTGTACTGGAGGGCCACCCACCACCCCGCCCCCGGCCCCGGGCTTCTGGGGCCTCCCAGTGCCATCCCTGGACTTCAGGTAACCGCCTCCTGCGGGCACAGGCGCTCAGACTGAGCCAGAGTACCGCCCTTCCCCGCACCCTGAGGCTCATCCTTGGGCTGCTGTTGGAAGGCCGAGCGGCCACGGGGCCCAGCACCACTGCCGAGGGCCAGTGCGGAGGGCAAGGGACTGTCCGCGGAGAGGAACTGTCCCCGGGGTGGCTGACCGTGGGGCTGCTTTCCCAGGGCTCGGAGTGGTCTCCACGCCCTCCCCGAGGCTGCCCTGGAGGCAGAGCCTGCTTCTGTGGCCGCCAGTTTCAGTACCTGAAGCGGGAGAAAGCGCCAGTGTGCTGCTCAGCCCGCGCATGTTACTGCCTGTGTCCGGGGACGAGCGTGTGCAGGGAGGCGAGGCAGAGGCAAGCCCTGCACGGCCTCACCGAGCTTTGTGTTGGCCACAGAACCAGCAGCTGCTGGGAGAGCGCGGCGAGGAGCACTCACCTCTTGAGCGGGACAGTTTGATGCCCTCAGACGAGGCCAGCGAGAGCTCCCGCCAAGCCTGGACGGGATCTTCCCAGCGCAGCTCCCGCCACCTGGAAGAGGACTATGCAGACAACTACCAGGACCTGTACCAGCCTCACCGCCAACACACCTCGGGGCTGCCCAGTGCTAACGGGCATGACCCTGAAGACCGGCTCCTGGCCCAGGACTCGGAGCACAACCACAATGACCGGAACTGGCAGCGCAATCGGCCCTGGCCCAAGGACAGCTACTGACCGCCTCCTGCTGCCCTGTGCTGGGAGGCCCAGGTGCACTGGCCGGGGTGCCCACTCCAGGCGAGGTGGGGTTAGGCTGGCATTAGGCTGGCACTAGACTCAGGCCCCAAAGCCCCCTGCCCAGCCCCAGCTGTGGTCCTGAGGTTCTGGGCGAAGAAAGGGTCCCCCTTACCTCCTGGGCAGCGACCTCCCTAGGCTCCCACTCTAGGTTCTAGCTGTGTGTGCTGCACCCTGGCATCTCCCTCTCCTGCACAAGACGCTGCCCCCCTGGGCAGTGCCCTCAGGCCAGGATCCCCTCGGCAGGAGCCTTCCTACCAGACTCAGGGAAGGGATGCCCCTCAGTGACAGGAGGGTGGGGATGTGGGCGGCAGGGCTTGAGGAAGAAGCAAGCCCGAGCAGGCCACGTCCTGCCAGTCAAGGGCCTCGGGGGTGCGCTTCAGAGTCGAGGGCCTCCACGCACCTCACTGCCTCACATTCCAGACGAGACAATCAGAGCCCTACCGGGTGGCACCCCCATCCCTCAGCGGGGTTGGGGCATCCACCCAAGGCCGGAGCAGTAGGCAGGCTAGGATGGGGTCAAGGCCTCACAGCTGAAGCTCTTGAAGAGAAAGGCTTTCCTCACCCTGCCAGGATGCCTCTTAACGTCTGACAAGACCAAGGACCGGAAGCCAGATCAAGCCAAGGGGCCGACCGGATTGGGAGTTTGGGAAGGGAGGGTTACACGTAGCAGGGAACGTATGGAACAGTTTCAGGGGTGTCCTTGCCCCCTCATTCTTTTGCTTTTGCATCCTGTCGTTTCTGTTGAGGGCCCTCATGCCTCCGGGGGGACACGAGTCCCACACTTTATTCCTCACTCACTCGGCCGTTGCTTGTTAAGTTCGGGCTAAGCGGGGATGTAGGACAGCTGACCCCCGAGTGACCCCCGAGGCCCTGTCCACCCGGCGAGCCTTGCCTCACAGCTCTAGTGTGTGACCTACAGAGCATGCTCCAGAAGACCCTGCCATGCCTCACCGTCATCATCAATAAACACCACGCACAGTCCGCCAGGCTCCTGTCCTGTGTCCAGACCGGGCAGTCAGGCTGCGTGCCGTGGGTGCCATGTGTGGAGGAGGTGGAGGGCACAGGCCTCCTCCACAGGGACCCACCAGGTGAGGGGAGCACAGAGCGAGGGGAGCACCAGCCCCCAGGGGGCGCGCAGACACTGGCCAGGTGGCGGAGCTGGGGAAGCCGCCTCCTGCCTTTATCCAGGATTCCTGCCCTGGGCTCGGCAGCTGCCACTTAGGCTCCATACACTTACCCAGGCCTGAGGGGAGGGAAAACTACTTGAGACAGCAGTAGGCCCTACAACCCCTCGCCAGACCCTAGCCCACTGGACCTGGCCCATCACGCCGTGATGCCCCTGGTGCCAGTCTCCACCCGCCTGTGTGCAGCAGGCCCAGCAGTTGGGGAGTCACAGCAGGGTGCTGAGGCTGGCTGAGGGCCCGCGGCCACAGGGCGGGGTGCAGTTCCAAGTGTGCCGCGCTGCCAGCTTCACAACCACTGCACTCGCGCTCACACGCTGACCCTTATGCAGAGCAGCTGAGGGTGTCCAGGCCGAAGCTCTATTACCTGAGGTGGTTAGAGGTGTTCCAGTCTTGCTGCCAGTGGCCCCTCCGTCTCCCTCAAGTGCGCCCTGCGGACTCAGACGGCCCCTGGGCGCTGCTCTAGCTAGGATTTTCTTTCAGGGTGCAGGTCAACCCACCATGCCCAAGGCTGTGCTCCTGTCTGCTGTGACACCAGGGAGAACCTGGAGGTGACGTAGGTGGAGCGAGAGACAGCCTTATAGTCGTGTGTTTATTCCCAGAACATACAAACATCTTCTCAGAGAATAGAAAACAAGAATTTCACTCAGTGACTTAAAGATGGACACAGCCAGCTCAACCTGTCCCCACATCTACTAAAAAAAGTTCCCCGGGTGAGGGGTGCCTAGAGTGCACAGCACCCTTGGCAAAGGGGCAGCGCGCGGCTCTAAACAAGGCTCTCGACTTGATTTATAATCCAAATGGGCAAACAGCTGTCAAAACGACAAGAGTCCAAGGTCCGTAATCCCCACAGTGCCAGATCCCCGGGGTCATCCAGGTAATGACGCTGCGGAAGCTCACGCAGCCACGTCTGTGCCGAAGACGTCCCCATCGGCCAGTGTTCCCTTCGGTCTGCAAGGCATTGCCGACCGACTGCCTCCATAACTAGCGCAAGCCCAAGGCCCAATGCAACCCCAAAGCCCGTCAGAGGGGCAGAGCTGGGCCAGGATCTATGGCAATTTGTTCTATGCTTCCTACAGCTCCTCTTCACCTACAGCCTCAAACTCAGGCCCGAGGCCAGGTAGTCTGATCACGTCCAGAACAAACCACCAGAACCCAGAGCGAGGACCTGAAAGATGGTCGTGAGGGTCCTGAAGAACAGGCTTCAGCACGTGCCCTTTCGGCCAAGGGGAGAGAGCTGTTAGGCAAAGATGGTCTCTTCCCGGCGCTTCTTGGTAAGGATGGTGCCTGGCTTGTGCTGGGCATCGGGGTGGTTGGCTAGTTCTGGGGGGCAGGACGACACCGGACTCTCCAGGATGGCTTGCTTCAGCTCGTAGAACACAGCAGAGTCCTCTTTGGTGAGGAAGGTGATAGCCACACCACTCTTCCCTGCTCGTCCTGTGCGCCCGATGCGGTGGATATAATCTAGGGGCAAGAACAACTATCACTGGGGGTACCAGGCCAGATGCCCTGCTAAGCAGTATCTGAGGCCTCCACACCTCTGAGGGCAAGAAGTACAGCTCGTGCAGGCCGCAGCAGCGGTGCCTAGCGTTTGGCACCAGCGCCCGCCTCCCCGGTGCCGCCCGCCCACACTAAGACAAGGGCTGTCCCAGCAGCGCTTCCACCCAGCCTGAAGACAGGGTGCCACCCCACGTGCTGCAGCCAAGTCCGCGCAGGGAAGGGCCGTTCTTTGGCACGGGCAACCCCAGGCCAGACGCCATGGCAGACGGCTGTGTCCCACCCTCCGGCCGAAGACACAAAAGCCCTCTCACCGCAGGCTGGAGCTGCGTCACGGCACTCACCTTCGATGTTTTTGGCCATATCATAGTTGACAACCATCGACACATCTTGGATGTCGATACCACGACCTGCCACATCTGTAGCCACCAAAATATCCTTGGCGCCAGCCTTGAGGTTGGACAGTGCGAACTCTCGCTGCTCCTGGCCTTTGCCACCATGCAGTGTACAAGCGTTGTACTGTTGGGAGAAAGCAGGTGAAGCCGAGCAACAGCATCATGGGAAGACACAGCCATTAAGGGGGGGTGGGGCCGAGAGGGGGAGGGGGAGGGGCGGGGAGGAAGAATGACAACAACTAACAACTGCAGTGAGGCAGAACAGTGGAGCTGGAAAAGGATGGAAGGGGTGGTGTGGCATGGCCAGGACAGCAGGGTGAGGCCAAAGGTCAAGCGATTGAGTGTGACGTGAATCAGATGAGAAAAGTAGTCAGAGATTGCGGGAAAGAGATTAGGGCAAAGAGCAAGTTGAAGAGGTTTAAAAAAGGTTAAGTGCTGAGTGGAAAGGACGCCTCGTTAGCAAGCCTGCCTCCCTCCCTACCACGCCTCACTCTGACCCACTCTCTTCCACACCCTCGCAGGCTGCCAGATGTTAGCTTCCTCTGGCCCCAGCCCACTTCGGGGAGACCCAGTTTTGCCTAGCACGGCTGAAACAGACAAGAGGTCCCCTTAACCTGATCTTACTGTCCTCACTCCTCTGCCCCTGACCTGACGAATGCTAGAGAGAACAGCTGAGAACTGAGCCAGGGGCCCGACTAGTTTTTGAAAGCAGCACCCAGGAGACCAGACTTCACTCCCCCCTGCCAGACACACCCCCATCTTCTCCAAGGATTTGGCCAAAACATCACAGCCTTTTTTCTGGTTGACAAAAATGATGATGGGTGGATCAAAGCCTTGCTCCAAGATCGCCAGCAGCTTTTTCCTGGGGGGAGTGAAAGAAGACAAAAATGAGATGCATATTACCTCCCGCTCCAGGCTTAGCCCAACTACAAACCCCAATTCCCAGGATCTTCGCGGCTTCCCGGGTAAGATGTTCATGGATTCCCAAATGGGACAAAATCTCTTGACCCACGAGAACCATCGCCCCGCCCCCCTTCCCCCCTTCTCGGTCCTGCCCAGCTGTCTCCCATACCTCTTTTCTGACTCTGACATGAGGAAGACCTTCTGTTCCACACGTTCATGGGGTTTGCCTGCGGAGCCAATGTACACCACAGCAGGTCGCCGAAGATAGCTCCGGGCCAGACGCTCCACCGCCGGGGGCATGGTGGCCGTGAACATGACTGTCTATGAGAACAGGAGGCTCAGCCTGAGTCCAGGACTCGGCGTCACTTAGCCCGCCATGGCCCAGGGGAGACCAAACAGCACCGATCTGAGAGAGCTCTGACAGCTACCACCCTCGTAAGGGTCCTCACACTAGCCAGGAAGGGCTGAGGGCTTTCGCTAACAAATGGGGAGTAAGGGGCAGGAACAGCAACATGACCCTTGGGACTAAATTAAGTGGCTGCACCTCCAGGGACTGTGGGAAGGAGGCCCCTAGGCATGCCTCACCATTCTGGAAACTTGTTTTCTGGGACTACATAGGGCAAGAAGTCTTAGGGCAGGTTGGGTAATTTGCTGTTTTTTCTCAGCCCAGGGAAGCAAGCCTTACTTGGCGGTACTTATGTTTCCCTGACTCAAAGTTGGCCAACATCTTCTCAGGATCCTCAGCCTCATCCGTGTCTGGCTTCTGGTTGCTGACAGGCATGTGCTCCAGGATCTTCTGGACGTCTGGTTCAAAGCCCATGTCAATCATCCTGTCGGCCTCATCCAGTACCACATAGGTACAGCGGCTTAGCACCAGGTAGCGGTTCTCCAACACGTCAATCAGACGTCCTGGGGTAGCAATCACAATCTGGGGGTACAGCGGAAACACAGCCTCAGCAGGGATCCCTTCTCCCACTTATTAACTATCCATCCACATGAACAAAAGCTGCGACAACAGAGTAGGGGTCTTAGCAATCCCAATGCGAAGAACCTCCAGACCACCGTGTGCATGGAACATGTACGTCAGAACTTGAAATCAGAGCCCAGACGGCAGGCCGGCTGCTGGCTACAACCAACCTCACAGCCCATGCGCAGCCGGAAGCCCTGGTCTTCTCTGGAGATGCCACCGATGACAGCCACGGTGCGGATGCCGAGTGGCTTCCCAAACTTGATCGTCTCTTCCTCAATCTGCTGAGCCAACTCACGGGTAGGGGCCAGGATGATGGCGTAAGGGCCCTGGTCTGACTCTTCGATCCTGTGGTAAATGGGGAACGCTGCCATTTCCACAGTCGTGGTTCTCAGCCAACCATCGCCCAGAGTCATTCTTAAGGGCAGAATGGGACTGGGGAGGGTGGTAGGAGAGGATGCAGTGGCCGCCTTTGAAAAAGAGGCCCCAGGAGAGCCAAGGTCTCCAGGGAACAGCGTTTGCCAACAATGAAATCATACGTTTCTCTGCTATCAGGAACCAATTATTCCTTAATATCTGACCCAGACTAAAAGGGAAGTGACTCACAGATGTGAGAAGAAAACTGAGCGCTCATTTGCCACTTCCACATTTTCTGATCAGCCAAACCCAGCCCGGCTGGTGCCAGCCAACCCACCTGTCAATTTTGGGGAGCGTGGTGATCCAGACCAGCAGTGGGATGAGAAAGGCTGCGGTCTTGCCACTGCCGGTCTCGGCCACGCCTATGATGTCACGGTTCTGTAGCCCGATAGGAATTGCCTGCCGCTGGATAGGTGTTGGCTCCTGCAGAGACCCGAAGGGGAACGGGCAGTCAGGATTCTACTGCCCGGGCGACTGCAGGCAGAGTGTGCCCACGCGCCTACCCAGTAGGGTTCCAGGAGCCTTCACAGGAACGGGGACCCAAAAAGAAACAACCCAAGGCCAACATTTCCACCAGGAAGTGACAGACAAGGTCACCTTGGTGCCTTGGCAGAGGACGGCATGGACAGGCAAGGAACAAAATTCTCTGCTCCTGGTGGAGTCTGCCCCCAGGCCGTAGCAGCCTGCCAGGCGCCCTCCGTACCTTGTAGCCGCACTTATCAATGACCTCCAGGATGTGTGGGGGCAGAGAGGAGTCTTTCCAGGATCGGATGGGGTTGGGGATCTTGCCACCCTTGGTGGTGATGCTGTAGTCCTCACGGAAGATCCGCCAGTCCCTGTCCGTCATCTCGTCTAACTTCTTCTGGGACCAATGCCGGTCATCCCACCGCTGCTTGGCCTCCTTTTTGCGGAGTTTGCGGAGTCTTGCCCTGAAGCAGGACATGAGAAACACGTGGCATCAGAGCCCTTCGTGACCCTGCGCAGACGGCACTGCCCTTCGTGACCCTGCCCAGCCGTGCCACTCACTCCTCCTGCTCCTTCTCTTCCAGAGTCCGCCGCTTCTCCATCAGGTCGCCATAGAATCGCGACTGCTCGCGTTTCTGCTGCTTGAGGTCAATGCCTGCGATGAAGCCTCGCCCCAGCAGCTGCACCTGGTGCCTTTCTTTGTATCTGCGATTGCGAAAGGAAGCAAACAGAGAAGAGGCTGTCACAGCACTAGAAAGCAGGGCAGACCAGCCACAGGGGCCAGCTCCGCCGCCTGCCCTGGCCCGTCCTCACCCCCAAGGCAGCTGGCTGGCTGCGAGTCCGCCAGCCCCCACCCTCCCACGCTAGCTGTCTTCTTCCTCCGTCTCGGAACTCTGTTGCCAGGTCTCTTTGGAGCGGCCAGCTTACAAGGTCCAGTTTAGGTCTGAAGTCACTCACAGGGGGTTGTAGTCAATGGAGGTGTCCTCAGATGCATCCCACTCGAAAACAAACTTGCGGTCATTGAGATGCCTTGTTCGGCGTCGCTTCTTGATGCCACCCAAGTAACGCTCCTGCCCAGACAGAACACAAAGCCCTCAAGCTGGAGGCCCAAATCTCAAACTCTCAGGTCAAAATTGCCAAATAACTAACTCTCATTTCGGGCTAGGAAAGAGACGTGATGGCACCTTAATGGCGTGCAGTTCCTTGCTCTTATCCTTCTCTTCCCGAATTTTCTGCCGCCCTTCCTCATCCTCATTTCCATTGGTCTCCCGCTCCATCCTTTCCCTGCGCTCCCGACGCTCCCGTTCCTGGGGGTCTTCTATAGAACAAAGAAAGCAAAACTGCAGAAGTGCTCAGCAAAAGAAAAACAAGAAGGCACCAAAGGGGTCCGACAGCGCCAGGTGACAGGAAGATGCACAAGGGAACGGGGGAAAGATAGTTTTCTCATAAACTTCCCTTACCCCGCCCGCTTCCAAACTCCCGATCAAACAAGTTTCCAGCTCTTCTGAATCACTTTACGATCCCATCCCACCCTTCCTACTCCATCTGGGGGCTGCACGGGATAGGGCGACGAACCCAGCATCTTCCGGCCCAAGTCTTGGAACTGCTTCCTCTTCTTCCTCTCCTCCTCCAGCATCTTCTGCCGCTCTTCCACTTCTTGCTGCCGCCGCTTCAGGGCTTCTGCCTCTCGTTCTGCTTTGGACAGGAACTTGGGCTACAAAACAGATTGGAACTATAAACAAAGGATCTGTGAGTGAGACCACATCACTGATGGGAAGACACAAACAGTCTGAAAATACTGGTGCAGGCATCAACCTTATGAAGGAAACACCAACAGGTCTAGAGTCCTTTATAGGCTGAATTGTGCCTCCCTCGGAATTTATCTGTTGAAGCCTTTAATACCCAGTATTTCAGAATGTGGCTGTATTTGGAGACTGAACCCTTAAAGACGTCATAAAACTAAAATGAGACTCATAGGATGAACCCCAAGCAACTGGTCTCCTTGTAAGGAAACACCTGGGCACACCAGAGACACCAAGGGCTTGCACAGAGGGAAGAGCATATGGAAACAGAAGACAGACACCTACAACACAGGGAAGCCCTGGCAAGAAACGACGCTACTGACACCACCCCAGAGGTGGAACCTTCAGAATGTAAGAACTATAAATTTCTCCTGTTTAAGCCACTCAGCCTGTGTTTGCTGTGGCAACCCTAGCCAGCTAGTACCAGACACATTCTTACCTTCGCCTCAGCCTCTTCCTCAGCCTTTTTCTTGGCCAGGAGTTCCTCTAGGGATAACGGCTGAGTCTGAAGATAAGACAAAGGGTTTCAGTCTACAAACACTCTCTTCTGTTGAAAAGCACTGAGCTTGAGTTAAGAGGAAGGTGAAAAAATCCTTCATTTCTTTTACCTTAGGCTTCTTATCACCATGTTCATCCTCTTCGTCCTTCTTAGAGTCTCTGTCTTTCCGAGATTTAAAGTCTTTTCCTCGGCCAGGAGATAAACTTTAAGGAAAAGGAATGGGAAGGTCCAAGTCACTGCCTCACCGCAGTTCCCAGATGAGGATCAATCTGAGCCCCAAGAAGATGGGTGTTTTCTCATGACTCAACAGGACTGGCCCATGCTCACCCATCATGTCCTGACGTTCCCCGGGGGCCTGCTCTGAAGCCTCACAAGAGGCCCATATTCAAGCTGGGTCTCCTTTTCTGCAACTTAATCTCTTCTGGAAAGTGGGTCTTTACTTACCAATGCAAAAGTATTTTCTTCAAATAGCAGTTGCACATTGAAAAAAGAATCCTACTTAACTTTGAAATATATAATGAATTCGGCCTAGATTGCCACCTACATACACCATTCCCAGATACTGCTATATATGTCTCCTCCTCCTTTTTCCTTCCTACCAGTCCCAGCAATCCCTCCGTCACACCTGCTGCAAGTTTACTCTATTCTGATTCAGAGACCTCAAACAGCCTGTTCAGGCTTGTTATGAGAATTGTCCTCTGCCCTGAATTCTAACCTACACACTTTCTGGGCCTAATAAAAACTTTGCATAGAAAAGTTTCTAGAGGAAAGAGGTCAAGATACTGGGACATTAAGCTAGCCCAACAAGTATGATGAATATCTTGAGTAGAAAAACTGAGGTCTGACGGAGCTACAAGAATATTCTGTACACTAATAACCTTGTCAAATGAATTTCTAAATTCTAAGAACAAATGGACCCTCAAAGGGTTGCGACTTCATTCATTACACTTTCAGCTCTGCAGAAGCTGAACCAGCTCAGATTCAGAGGAAGAGTTAAGTGCATACCCTCAGGCCCACTCACTCCTCAGGTACCTGGATCGTTTGCGGTCCTTGTCCCGTCTGTGCCCATCCTTATCCCGATCTCGGTCCTTCTTATTCCGCTCCCGTTCCTTATCTCGTTCTCGTTCTTTATGCCGTCGATCTCTGAACACAGCACAGTGAAGAGGTTACTTGATATTTCCCAAGTAATCTGCTTCACTGCAGCCCTAAAAAGATTCCCATGCTCTTTTCTCGCTGAAGCGATATTTTACAAATTGGCAAATGTGTTTCCTGGGAAAGTTAAGAGAGAATTTTTTTTTTAAGATTTATTTATTTATGCATACAGAGCTGGGGTACAGGCCAGAGGTGCAGGGGTGGTGAGAAGATTCACTAGAGACAGAGTGAACAGGCTGACTGATGCAGTACACTGCTGAGGGGAGCAGCAGGCAGGCCAGGAGAGGTCTGCCGTGCCATGTGGGTCACCTTCAGGGCTGGGGATTGAACTCATGTGGAAGTGGCTTTAGCATCTTAGTGCTGTGCTTTATCCCACTACGTCACTAGGAAGGGCCCAGTTATGAGAGAATTTTAAGGTCTTATGCATCAGAGTTACACTGCTAAGTATCAACAGCACTGACAGCACATGGACCATATGCGCAGATACACTCTTTCTTGATCATCCAGACCTTCCCCTTACCAATTCCCTTCTAAGGCTTAAGATCTGCTGGTTCATTAGTCGTAGAAAATATATTAAAGACTAAAGTCCTAATATTTGAGACACAAGAGCAAGAACGAAGTTTGAGATGTAGTCTCCTCTCCATGGAACAGACATACAAAGCCACTTTACCTTTCTATAGATTTGGAACGGGAACGGGAGCGAGAACGACTGGCTCCTCGACGTCTATCCCTCGACCTATGCCGCTTCCTGTCTTTAGATGGAGAAGACTTCCGGTCCCGGTCCCGATCCCGCTCTCTGTCAGGAGTCCGAGATCGTTTCCTTTCGTCTTTGGAAGGCGAGGCATCACGGTCCTTCTTGTCAGCCAGCTCTCCTGCCATCTGTCAGAGGTAATACTTCTTATGTACTAAGTACATAAAACCAACATCTCCACACGCATGTAGTATGCAACTATCTCCAAACAAGCCTAGAGGCAGATAGCCTGGCTTGCTTACAGATGAAGAAACTGAAGCTCAAACTTATAAATAACTTGCCTGAGAACACACAAGCACCAAGTGGCAGAAATTCAAGCAGTCTGGCTCAATTTTATTCATTACACTACACTGCCTTTCTGTGATTCCTTTTGTCCATATTCACTCCTCAAAGCGTGCAATGAATATACCTTTTTTTTTTTTTTCAATGCATACAGACTTGGGTACAAGCCAGAGGTGCAGGGGCGGTGAGAGGATTCACCGCAGAACAGGGGAGCAGAATAGGCAGATTGACGAACTATACTGCTGAGGGGAGCAGCGGTGCTGAGGGGAGCAGCCGCAGGTCAGAAGAGGGCTGCTGGGCCATGTGGGTCACCTCAGGCAGGTGATCAAACTCGCACTGAAGCAGCTGCTTGCAGTGCTGCATCTTAACCCATTGTGCCACCAGGGGTCAGGACCCAAATATACCTAATTTTATGGCAAGAGGATGGAGTACTCGCTGTCTCCGGGAACACCCTGCACGGCTCACCTTAGAAGCCTACGAGGTCTGCCAACCTATGAGGGCTCGGTACACATAGCCAAAGAAAGCACGACAAAGGGGGAGAAATGTTTCACTTTTAAGATTTGGGATTTTAATCAGCACACCAAGAAAAATTTAAATGGAGAGACAAGCTCACTTTTACTCAGTTTAAAGGCAATGTACGTTTCTGTTGTGAGAAGGGTAACACTAGGTAAAGGGTACCCTTGTGGTGAACCTATAATTTAATAACCTAGGCACGAGATAAAAGTACCTTGTTCTAGGAAAGTGGCTACTGAATAGAAAGAAGTAAACAGTTTCTGGATGTATTCTGGAGGCAGAGTTCATAGGACTTACTGTGAAAGGAGAAAGGGAGAGAGAGGACACAAAGATTAACTCCTAAATATACGGTTTGAGCCAACCAGTGATTCATGGAGTTATCAGTAACTGGGGATGAAGCAACTTTAGGAGGTAATAAAAAGTTCCATGGTTATGTTGAGTGCAAGATGTAAGAAAACCAAGTGGATGTTATAGGAAGGCAATTGAAATTGCAATTCTAGAACTCAGAGGAGACAAACTTTTGAGTCATCAATATATAGAGGGCTTTTAAAACCATGCACACTAAATTATATTACTTACATCAGCAGTATACAGCCACACATTACCGAACCTGATGGGGATGCATTCTGAAAAGTCACCATTAGGTGATTTCACCACTGGCAATGTCAGTCTAATTACACAAACCTGGACAGTAGTCGGGGTTATATAGTATTGCCTACTGGACCACTGTTGCATATGTGGTATCTTGTTACTGTAATTGAAGAACAGAACGGAAATGGCCCCAGGATTGAACTTCGGAACACTTTAACATTTAGAAGTCAGGCAAAAGAGGAGCCAGTTACAGAAGACTGGAAAGAAGCAGCAGCAGTGAGCAAGGAGGGGGGAAAGTGACCACAGAAGCCAGAAAACACGTTTTCCATTAGGGCATGGTCAACTGTTTCAAATGGACAAAGATGAGGGCATAGAGAAGTGACCCTTGCCTTCGGGAAGATGATGATTGGTGACCTTGACAAGAGCTGTTCTGATGCCATGGTGGAAACAGAAGCCTGGATGGCATGAGTTTAGAGGAGGATGAGAATAAAGACAGTATGCAAAAGCAACTTTTATTATTATAGGTTCTAGCAACACTTATCACAACAGTCAGATAAGCACTTCTTCCCAGCAGTATTCCTCACAAGGCTCCAGATAAATACTTGAGTTCCTCAGGTCTTGTGGTGCATACTTTCACACAGGACCCTGTCCAGAGGCAGCTTACAGAACAATATAGATACCCTACAGAGACTGTGCCAAGATGAAGGCTCAGATGAGCATAAATTATAGAGATTTCAAGGAGGAGTTTCGCGTCTCACTTGTGAGAGGGGACCTGGAAGATCTGGTCAGGAAATACGTCCTGATCATTTACTTAAAAGTAGAATTTGAGGATGTGTAAATGAGGATGCAGAAAAGAAGTCATCCCGGCAAGAGAAGTAAGACAGAGGCGGGAAAGCAGGACCGGTTCTGAGAGAAATGCCAGAGATCCAGTTTGGTTGGGTCAAGGGCTACTAGAAACATGAAGAAACAGGTCAGAATGGGGCTATCACTGATGGCGTGGCCATGAGCACAGGTCTGGCCCCTAGCATCGTCCAGAGACCTGGCCTGTGGCCCCAGAAGCCAGCACTCCCCCCTGGGGCCCGCACCCCTTCGCTCCCGCCCGCCCGAGTCTGCCAAGCTCATGCCCCGTCCCCGAGGTGTGTTTCCTCGCCTTGTACTGGAGGCAGGGGCCACCGCCTTGCCCCCACTCTCGCCCTCTCTGCAAGCCCGTGGGGACAGCCTCCAACGCGCGGGACTCACCACTCTAAGTCTGAACCGCCTAACGCGGCCTCAACGTCGCGGAACAGTCGCCATCTTCCCCGTTTCCTGGTCGCCGAGATGCACCTCCAGCCGCGCGGCAGGCTGGGAAGGCGAGTTTCTGGTCCCGGGTGGCGCAGGCCAACGGGGCGAGGCAGAAAACTACCAATCCCAGAAATCACTGCTCGAGCGCCGGTCCTTGGCCCCGGTGGCTGCTGGGCAATGTGGTTCGGCAGGCATATAGGCCGGCTGGGGAAGAGTTTTTTATGGACCGGCTGCCCGAATGAGGTTCTCCAGCAGCCTTGGTCTTCCAGGAGTAAGCTGGTCATCTGGAAACTGCTGTTAACGATGATCACGGCCTGTACTTACAGCGGAGGAGTTTAAGTGCTTCTTTAGCTGTCGTTGACACATAATTATAACAACTGCTGCAACAAATAATTTGTGGAAAAGTATGAGATTTTGAGATCGGTGTTTGCCTCATTTTACAGATGGACAAACTAAGGGGCAGGACTAGCCTAGTACTTCACAGTCAAGGTAGGCCAGTTCTTTATTGCGCGGGACTCAGATTTAGGAGGACATTTAAGCAACCTTGCTACCATACCAGGGTAAATGCAGTAACATCCCCACAGTGTTTGAAAGTGAGCCCACCTGGGAACTCCAAAATTCTCCTAGAACTATAGTATCGACTTAGCTGTGGCGCCTGTTTTCTCACCATTCCAAGTTGATTAGTCTTCTTGTCCTTTGGATCTTACCAGTTGTTAGGTTGCTTTTGTATTTTTGCTTCTTTCTTCTTCTTAGTCCTCTGTCTTCAGCCTTTCACATAGGAAGACTTTATTCCAAATTGTATGCTCACTTTGTTTCTCTTTGGTCTTAGGATTCATAATTCTCTCCGCAGACAAAACAAAATCCCTTGCAGTTTCTAGGGATGTATTGAGGATATGCAAGAATCTAATCCCTCTTTTCATTTTCCCACTGTCAGCTTTTTTATTTCAATCCCATATAGCTATCTGTTTGGCATCTCTCTCTGAATGTGTTCAGTTCTCAAACAGAGCTGCATGGTAGATCCAAGTAATCCTAAATCCTGAGCATCAGGCACAAAACCCAAAGTAACCTTCGAAGAGTCACACTTCTGCCCTTAGAACTCTGCAGCCTTTGCCCTGCCTCTGTGTACCCCAGAGAGAACTGACGGAAGAGGAAGAGGCCTGGGCCTGGTTTATCACTAGGTGTAATTCACTCGATGAACACTGGAGGACTCTCCATGCACAGAATGGAACCCCAGCTAAGCCAGGCCAAAGATGTGGCTGGAATCTTTTAAGAACAGCTCTCAGGATCTTCTAAGTTGGGGAACTGGGGTGAACACAACTTAGGTTACTTATTTTATTTAGTTCTCATAACTGTGTGAGGTGGATATTTCTCATTATTGATAAGGAGATTGTAGCTCAAAAGATTAATTATGCCTTCAAAGATCACATGGTGGAAAGAAGGGAGCCAGGATTCAACAACAGGTTATTTAACTTCAGAGTCCGTGCTTTTTCTATTTCCAGGCTACCATTCCTCACCGTCTTTAAAGATGAGTTAATAGAGAGCCAGAAAGTTGATGAAGCTTGTCCAAGTTCATGGTGGCAGAATCTCCCCTTGACATATGTAAGACATTGAACTTAAAGAATAGTCATTGTTGTGTCTCGCTCCGCTGGTTATTTTACAAGCATGCATCTTTGTTGGTGGAGACAAAGACACAGCTTTTATTGGGGACCACAGATAGAGTCTCCTATTTGGCAAAATGATAGCTAGCAAGTAAGGGATATGTGGCATTACAGTTAACAGAGGGACCCAGACTGAGTTCTGACTCCTTTACTTACTAGCAACATGCTCTAGTGAGTTACATGGCATCTCTGGCTTTTGTTTTCTCTTTTAGGGGTAATAACTGCCAGTTTCCTCACTGGCTAGGCTAGCAGAGCAGTGAAAACTACATGTGCTGGGGCAAGGTTCCCAGAGTTGGTAGCCAGGTTCTGTTATTTTCTGTGTGATCTTAGGCACACTAACGAATCTCTCTGAACCTGGTGTTTGTGGGGTTTTTGCTTAGAACTGGAGTGTAGGCCAGAGATGGGGGTAGAGGGTGAAAAGATTTACCAGAGACAGAGTAGGGAGCAGAACAGGCCTATAGGCTGAAACACAGACTGAAACACACTGGCAGAGTATTAAATTCAGGCTGTAGCTGAGATAGGGCTACGGCTAACCCCTTGGCCACCAGGGAGGCCCTGAACCTGTTCTTCTGAACCTGTTCTTCTGTTGGAAAATGAGGTACTCTGTGGAGTTATAGCAGGAATAAATAACAAAGAACTCAAAAGGATCCCTGGCCCATAGTAAACATTTAACAAGTGTTAGTTGTTATCACTGATGAGGTTAAATGAGGTTGCCTGAAAAGTTCTCGAAGCTGTGAGTCACTGAGGAGAAGGGAACACCAAGGACCTTAAGGTCCTTGCGCTGCCATCCCCAGGCAGTGGAACTGTAGGTCAAGAAAGAAGATTTCCTGTCTCAGAGACCAGAATCTCAGGCACTTCCCTGGAACCTTGGCTCCGGTCTGTCCACCTGCTGCCAGGGGTGGGATCTCAGTAGCTTGGGCCTTCTGATGATTCCACAGAACCCTGTCCCTTTCCTCCAGACTCCAGTGCACAGCCCCCCCCACCCCCACTTAATGAAGCGTTGTCAGGCCAGAAAGTCATCAGATCTGAGATGAAGAAACCTACTCTAAGAGTAGGGAGCTCATGGGCTTCATTGGTCTTGGCTGGAGGTGGGATGAGGAGGGGTGGAGGTACAGGGAGGAGAGAACAAAGGATACAGAAACTCTGCAACCAATGTCAGGGCCTTGGGCGGTTTCCTCACATCAGTGACCAAGTGAAACGGAGAAAGAAACTAAGAAAACAGGATGAACTTCTTTATATGTATTATATTTTTCATTAATAAATAGGTTTTCTTCTTTAAACACAGAACATATAGCAGATCCCCTCCCCCGCCCTTTCCAAAGACAAGTCTATGAAACAAATGCCAGCTGTACTGCCCTAAGGGCAGACAAAGTCCGGTGACCCTCACCCAGCCCTGCCCCCTGTAGCACCACCACCCCCACACTGCAAGAAAAGGGGGTCTGTGGCTTCTCCCTTGGACCCTGGGGACTTAGGTGAGAAGCATGTGAATGTGTGATGTCACCTCTCCAGGAGGCATTGGCTATGCAAAGATGAGCTGCTTTCCCACTGACCCTGACAGCTCCTGCCATGCTGATTTCAGTTTCGAAGCACCTGGGCCCAGCTCCCAGGGCGCTGCCTCTTGGCTTCTCCACCCTCCACTCCTCGGAGGGGAAGGGAAGGGCTCAGAGACCCCTCCGATCCCCTGGCCTGCATGGAAACGGTGTGTGGAAGAGGCATGAAGCTGAAGGTGAGGCTCCTGTAGGCTCCCGTGAGGCCAGCGCGCCCCCTAGCCCCACACCTTGCCTTCCTCTGGAGTGGGGGCAGCTGCCCCCTCCACAACCTAGTACCTGGCTTGGGGTGTGATGGTTCTTTCTTAGTGTCAGGCCCTCTAGCCGGGCCTGGCTCTTTCCTTGTCCCATTCCTGTCTCCTTCCAAGCCCTCTCTGTGGCCATCTGAAAAACGCATGTCCGGTGTCTTTAACAGTCTCATCCTCCCTCTCCCTGTGCCTCTGCTCCCAAGGGAGGAGATGGGAGGTTGTCTCCCCTCTCCAAACCCCCCTTCACATGATGGAACAGCTTCTGGCCTTTTCCTTCTTGAAAGTAGAAGAGATGAGTTCAGAACGACTAGGGAGGTGGAGCAGTCGCTTGGAGAGGCTTCGGACAGGGCTCTTGGGGGGCACTGGGTTGGGCTTGTTCAGACACACGATGGACGCTGTCCGGAAGATGCTGTGGATACTCTTTTCTGAGGTGAATGCTGAGCCTTCCAGGTAGATTTCTGCACCCAGCTGCTTGGCTATTGCACAGCCCTGTGAGTGGCGGGGTTGGGGAGACAGTTAAAGCAGTGAGTCTGAAACCCCACCTTCCATGGTGGGTGGTGCTCCCAGGGCTGCCCCGAGGGGTCAAATCACCCAGAACACTTTCAAAACCACACTCATGCCAGACCAAGTTGGTCAGAATTTCTGGCAGTAGGGTCTAGGCATGAATATTGTTAAGAGCTCCCCAGATGACTCTAATGTGAAACACTGATTTAAAGGAAATCCGTACACTCCTTTGTGTGTAAGAAGTTATCCAGGGGTTTTATTAAACATTCAAGTCCCGTATCTTACTCTGAGTGACTATGATTTAGAGACAGGAACCCTAAGCAACCCTTCTAGTGCTTGTAGAGCAGGTGGTCTGCAAAAACCAATATGAGAAGCACCGGCACAGGCATGAATGCCCACCTGCCAGTGGCCCACCTGTAAGTCAGGTAGACAGGTACTCTACACCAGCTTTCTATTGAGAGCTAGCCCCCCAGAACACCAATTCTGCTTCACCATAATGAGTGAAGGACAACATTTCAAGTTCACCTATAGCCTTCCCTACCCTACACTCTCTCTCTCTCTCTCTCTCTCTCTCTCTCTCTCTCTCTCTCACACACACACACACACACACACACACACACACACACACACACCCCATCCCTACCTGCTCATAGGAGATGGGAGCCTGCTTCTGGTGAGACAGCTCCATCAGAGTGCTCAGGTCTGTTCTCAGGTCGGTCTTGCAGCCAATAAGCAAAACACGGGTGCTGGGACAATAATCTAAGATTTCTGTCCTCCACTAAAGAACCACATGAGAAGGGGAAAAGAAGAAGGGGAGTCAGTGACTGACAGAGGAGGAGGACCTGGCTGGCAGCATCACACACTCCAGCCAGTTCACCACCAGCCAGCCTCCCCTCTGAGTCACAGCATCGCCACTGCACTAGTTACATCATCGTCCTGCCCGTGGGGCTCTGAGGCCACAGGAGTGCCGGCCCAAGAGCCCAACCCTCATTCTACAGCCCAGCCCCCAGAGAGAACCGGGGGAGGGGGGCGGTGGGGGGAGAGCTAGTATTCGCCCACTGCCTGCCCCACATACAGGCACGGAATACAGTCAAAAGTTCCTGCAGGGGCAGGTGCCAGAAGAAAGTCAACCTGTCTCATTCGAGGGAAGGAAATCATCCCAGAGACTTCTAGAAAGCCACTCAGACCCAGGAATTCCCTGACAGAAGTTGAGCTTGCACTTGCCTGGCTCGCCCAGTGGGCCTGGGGTCAGGTGTCTAGAAGCTGCCTCCAAAAGGCCCACCACTGGGCCTCAAGCCCTATCACCTAAGGGCGCTCTGATTTTCAGTCCTTCTCTTCCTGAGTATTTAATACTGTCCTCCACTGCTGGGCATCTGGCGGAGCACAGGGTAGTGGCAAGGGCAAGAGGCAGAAAGGGCGAGACCTGGGGTCTGATGCCAGGGCCAGATGAATAGTGTGGCTGTAGGCAAGTATTTTTCTTCCCTGGCCTCAGTTTTTCCTATTTCACAAGAGGATTAGATGACAAGGTCCCCAAGATTTCTTTTTCTTCTCAGGCTGAGAACTGGGGCCAGAGAGTGCAGGTTTTACCCAGCCTCACCTTCTTGAGTGCACTGTCCACTGTCTCCGGGCGGCTGATATCAAAGCATAGTAATACTGCGTCCGAGTCGCTATAGCAGAGTGGACGGACGTTGTCATAGTAGGGAGAACCTGGCGAGGGAGAAGACCTGCAGTGAGCCACGGCTGCCTCCCGACCATACACACCTCAACCGCAGCACTCTGTGGCCCCAGGGTGTCATTCTTGGCCCTTCGGAGTAGCTGGCCTCACCCAAGGAAACTACGTGCTGTAGCCTAGAAGCTGGGATCTGACCACCAGTCAGAGGTAGTCCTAAAAAAGGAAAGGGGGCAAAGAAACCAGAGGGGCAGGAGGTAGCGTACAGTTGGATCCTGGGTGGCTCGCCTATGAGTGGGCTTCAATTAAGGACGCCAGGTTCCCGAGTCCCAGGGGAGGATGCTCCCACCCCTGAGGAGAGATCAGGGCCTATTTAAAGGTTCCTCTGCTGCCCAAGCTGCTACCTTCTGCTGCTCCAGGGTCTTCCCAAGGAGGAAACAAACTTGCCTGTTATGTAACTGGTTGCCCTGCTTCTCTGCTACAGTCAGAACTCTAGCGACTGGCAGGGGAGGGGGAACATGAAGGGTTCAGGGTCCTCCCACCCAAACTGGATTACACAGCAAGGGCCAAAGGGAAGCTGTTGCCCCCATCCCCCTAAGGTCTCAGGCAGGCCATCTCAGAGACAGCAGCACCAATAGCTGGGGGTTTAGAGGTTCAGTAAGAGGAGGGGAAGACCAGTGCAGGCCCAGGTGGTCCAATGTGAGAGAATGCAGGGGGCTGAGCCTGCTCCCTCCACCCTGGAGAAGGAACAGTAGCAGATTTGGAACCCAGACAATCCGTGCTCAGAATAGCAAGCAGCCCCTCTCCCTGCATCACAATCTCCATGGAAACTGGGGGAATCCAAGTTGGGGGGGCTGGGTTGAAAGAAACAAATGGAGTCCAGGGGAGTTGGGATATCTGCCTGCTCCTTCAGCAGCCTGCCCCCCCCCAGGTGGGTCTCATCACCCACTGCAGCAGTGAGCGCAGGGAGTACTGCAGGACTGGCAGTGGCGTGGGGGGCATCCGTTCTGGCTCCCAGCAATCCCTGGACCAAATGAATCTTCTAGGACCAAGCAGTGAATAATGGGGACAGGTTTGACTTCCCAGTGTTGGGAAGCCCCATCCCACACAGCCCTGCCACTTCCTCCCTCTTGCTGGAACCCAATTATGAAGAGGGAGTTTGCAGATGAGGGACAGCTTGCATCCCTTCAGATGGGGGGAGGGCAGAGATGCGACACCACACGGAGACCACCCTTGCTGATTTTCCATTATCTGGACTGGAATTCAAGGGCTGCATTCTGACTTGGGGCTGGGGGAGCAGCTGGACAGCAGGCACTTTGGGGGTGGGTAGGAGGAGGAGATTTGAGCTACAGTAAGATTTTGCAAAAATTCAAAAGGTGGACAGGGTAGAGCAGATGAAAAACCACATCGTGGGGCCAAACTGCATTCCAGCCAGCAGATCCAGTCAGCAGAGCAGAGCCAGGGAGCCAACCCTGCCTTGCAGCCCCTGGATGGCGACAGAGCAGTGCATACAAGGTTGAGGGATTTTTGTTTTGTCTTGGGGAGGGAAAGCAAGGGAAGTCTCATTTTCTGTTTACCCCCCCCTTAACCCAATCTTTCCGGACCTCAAGATTTGATCCTGGGAACGAGCTCTTTGCAGGACCAGGATAGCATATGTGTTCTATATAACAGGAAGTCCCCAGTGATTTATAGTTCCTCTTTAAACTCGGCCCTTTTTGGAGAGGAGTAGATTTTATTTCTCCTATTCTTAGCATTTAGTCCGTAATTATAACTCTGAGCCCCCTCTACGAATAAAGAATTGGGGAAAAGGAAAAATGGGGTGGAGCGCCAATCAAAGAAAGGGACAGCCTCGTACTAAGCGGTGAGGACTGAGAGGTTGGAAAAATACTGCTCTTTACATTTCTGAAAGACAGGGCATCTTCGACCTCCGCCAGTACAGCCGTGGGGAGGGGGTGGGGGTAGTGGTGAGCATCGACACCCCCCACCACTATCCACTATGTGGCTGTGCCCTATATTAAGCTGTCTCCCCCACCCCCAAAGGATGATGCATCACTTCATCCCAAGCCGAGCCGCAGCGGCATGACAAGCACAGGGAGCTGAGCTGCGGCAGGCAGACAGCAGTGGCCCGAGCGGGAATGCAGGAGAGAGACTGAATCCGGAAGGGCACTGCCCGCAGCAGGCTCTCTCGGCCGCTCCAGCAGCAATGCCTCCGGCCTGATCTGACTTGACAGTGGGGCAGTGAAGGCAGCGTGTGCGTGTGTGCACGCGTGTGATGTGTGCGTGATAGGTGGCGGGCTGGGGGGGAGAGGCGCTGTCTGACGGCTCCCCAGCGGCTTCAGGGCTCATTCACCTGGCGGTTCCAGCCTCCAAAAACTCGGGCTAGACCCTGAGAAGGGAATCGACTGTGCAGCTCTGGGCCCGTCAAGACAACACCACCACCCCCACCCCCCCGCACCGACAATCAAGGAAAGTTCAGGTCCCCTTCTTTCACACTCCTGGCTAGCACCCTACTCCTCCAGGTCAGAGAAGGAAACGATTTCTAAAGACAGCAGGGACAGCAGAGCAGCGAGGAGGGAAGAGGCGCGGGCATCTTACCCGAGGTGTCCCAGAGGCTGAGCTCCACTCTCTGCTCCTCCGTGTCCAAGCAAGCCGTGTAATTCTCGAACACCGTGGGCACGTACGTCTGTGGGAGAGAGGAGCTGTGCACGCCCGGCACCTACCCTGGTCGCCAGCGCTCAGTACTGGCCACACTGGGGCTCACCCTCCCGGGTCACGCAGGTGACCGGAATGTAGGAAGCCAAAGCAAGGGGTGCCTGGCGGCAGGGGTGCCTGGGGCAGGGCCACCTGGGAGGGGGGTGATTGGGGGGGCAGGAGTGTCGCAGCGCAGGTACTTTGCTCCATCAAAATGAGAAATGTAACTTCCAAACACCAACGAGCCCCAGATGCCAAGAGACAGTCTCACATTCATTCTCTCTCTCCTTTCACCCCCACATCGTCAGTCTCCCAACTTCAGAGCCACAGCAGTCTAGCTCCCCCCCCCCCCCATACCCTCATCCCATCCGAGGCCTGCTGGGGGCTCACACACACTCAACAGGGGTGAGGGCACCCGCAGGTGTTGTCAAAGCCCCAGACTCGCAAAGGTCTCCAGTGGCTCTGACAGGTCACCCCAAGACTTGGAGGGGGTAGGAGGGGACTGGGTGGGGGACTTTGGGGGGGAGAGGTGAGGAGAAGCCGCCAGGGCGGCAGAAGTGGGACACGTCTCAGGGGAGGCTAAGCAGGGCGATGCCCCAGCCAGAAAGTGGCTGAGGAAGAAGTGGGTGAGTGGGGTGTGGTGGGCCGCAGGTGTTGGGGGGGCGACAGCTCTCGCGCAGTGGGTCTACCCCCAGGTAGGCAGACAGGAGGGCACTGGGCAGCGAGGGGCGGGCGGCTCACCTCAGGGTAGCAGTCTTTCGCTAACACCTGTAACATCGCTGTCTTCCCACACTGCACATCCCCCACGAGGACGAGCTTACATCTGGCTACAACTGGCTGCAGGGCCCGTCTCTCCTTCATGGTTACAGCGGCGCGGAACTGCAATTCGGACTCAGAGGAGTGAGGGTTGCGCCAGGTGAGGCTCTGCACCCGGGCTCAGCTGCATTCCCAGCCTCCCTCCGACTGGAAAGGAGGCCGCTACCGCCACCTTATATCTCCTCGGAGGAGCCAATCACAAGAGGGGGCGGGCTCTGTCAAGGCCAATCCCTGAGGTGGGATCCCCTCCAGTAGCCAATGGGAGCAGGATATGAGTCAGGGCTCGCTTCCTCCCCTCCCTTTCTCTTAAAGCTGCACCGTTGCGTCCTTTGAAAGGGAATTCCCACGACGACTCGCGTTTGTATTAAGGGGTGAGGGGAGGGCGGTGCCACGAAGCAAAATTAAATGGTCACGAGTGAGCACCAGTTATTTTTAAAAACAATAAACTTGCCATGAAAGTAGAAAGCGAGGTCAAGGTGGAGTTCTCAGAGCAGAGCAGGACCTGCCTAAACTATGACAGGTGGGGGGTGGTGACCCCACAGATCTCTGACCATTTTGTTCCATGTAATCTCCATCCAAACGAGTATAGTCCTGGGGTCCCCCTTTATTAGTTCCTACTGTACCTCCTTTTAATGCCCCTGTCTATTTCTTAGGAATCACCTTTATAAAAAAAAAAAATGTGATAAAATCTTCTTGAATCATTGGAAAACCCCACACAACTCCTGACCCCAAGATGAGCAGAGAAAAAGGAATGAGGGAGTCTGGCTTGTGGGGATGGGAAAGTGGAGAACAGAACAAAGTTGGGCCAAACAACTTCTCACCTCCTGCCAGGAGCTGCTCAGGGCAGTGTGTCTGCTGTGGGGCTCAGCTTCCTGCATGAATCAGGTCCACTTCCAGGTTGACACCTCCTCACCTCACGCTCTGCTTGTTACAGAGCTAAATCCAGCCCTTAAGATGGGACTTTGGACCCGCAGGGATTACAATTGAGATGGAAAAAAAAAATGTACAAAATGATGTAAAAATAAACTTTTGTAATAATAATAAAAAAAAGATGGGGCTTTGGGATTAGACAGCTGGAGGCAACCTAGCTCGCAGCCTTGCGTCCTAAGGAGGCTTTCCACTGGGCAGACCCACGGGCACACACAGCTTGAGGAGTCCACTGACTATTCGAGAACCACAGCTGTCCAAATGAGGCCTCTTGAGGACCAAAGTGAGACTGAACTTGAGCAAAAGTGGGTTTTTCTTCAGAGCTTATCTTCACCTTGTCAAGCCCAGTGCCTCTGGAGTATGTCCTGGGCCTTGTTCTGTCTGAGCTGTACTTTGACCAGCTGGCATTGCTGGCCCACCCACGGGGGTTTTCCATGTTATAAAGGATATTGAATTATACAAGCCTTTCCCAAACTCAAAGGGAGAGATCTCTAATGGTGAGACTCCCAGCGCCCACTAGTAGGAGGAAAATGGAGGACACCTTGAAAGTGTACCCTGGTCCGGGTGCCTCCTGTTAAATCTCGTGACATCCAAGTCGAAGTTGCTCTGCTGAGTTGGGGGGGGGCTGCCCTGTCCTGACAACCTCACAAACCCACAAATGCAGTTTGGGAGCATTAACATCTCAAAGGTCATAGACTACCTCAGTGTGGGACCTTCCCCTGAACTTTTCCTCCAGGGCTCCATCTTCAGTCTCATTAGACTCGGTGTCTTCGTTAGTATCCAGCCCTCTTCGCTGGGCCCTCCAGTGGCAGGCTCAAAGTTAACCCTGTCCTCTAATAGTGTTTCCTACACACTCTCCAACAGGCATTCCAAGTGAACACTCAATGTAAAACAAAACAAAAAAAACTGTTCCTGTTATGCAAACTGTTTCCTTGGGTTTATAATAAGATTACAACTTCTGTTTTGCTCTGAGAGATAAATCCAGGGAGCTGGTGCTAATACTGATGCTTCCTTGGGTGACTGTGTTTTGGGGGGAGGCTTGCAGGAAGCCTGAACTGCAACACAAAGCAGCCTCATTGATTCTCACAATGTGCCTCCAAGTCTCCAAAGATGTTTTGTGGGTCACATGCTTCTGAGTGGGGTGGGGGAAATGGTGTGTGTCTGTGTGTGCACGCGCACACGAGCGTGTGTTGGATGGATCAGAAAACCAAAATACAACAGCTACACCTTTATTTAACATTCTGGAAATGGGTGGGGTGGGAGGAATGAGGGCAGGTGCACTAGGATTGTGTGCATTCAGGTAAGTCTCCTCACCTTCTATTGCATGAAGAACAGGCAAATTCAAACCATAAACCCAGAGTAGATTGTCTAGGGCTAGAGGGGCTGGGTTGGAAGGTGGAGTGACTGCTAATGGGTGCAGTGTTTCATTTTTGGGGTGATTTTTTTTAAAGATTTATTTATTTGTGCATGCAGCACTGGGGTACAGGTCAGAGGCTCAGGGGCGGCGAGGGGCTTCACCAGAGACAGAGTGGGGAGCAGAACAGGCAGATTGACAAAGTCCACTGCTGAGGGGAGCAGTGGGCAGGTCAGGAGAGGTCTGCCGCCCTGTGGTCACCTCCGGGGCAGGCGGGGTTCAAACTCATGCAGAAGTGGCTTTAGCTTCTTAGTGTTGTGCTTTAACTCGCTGAGCCACCAGGGAGGGCCATTTTGGGGTGATATATTCTAAATTGATTATGGTGATGGCTGTGCAAATCTTTAAATAAGGGGAAAACCATTGAATTGAAGAATTTAAATTGCTGAATTGTATGTTATGTGAATTATATCTTGACAAAGTTGTTACTTTAAAAAATAAAGTTGTAAAAAAATAAAATAAAGCTGTAATTACAAAATAAAGTTGTAATTTCTTTATATACTCTCCTTTAACTTTTTTTTAAGATTTATTTTATTTATGTATACATACAAGAACTGGGGTGTAGGCCAGAAGTGCAAAGGGTAAGAGGGTTCGCCAGAGAGGGAGTGGGGAGCAGAACAGGCAGATCTACTAAAATACACTGCTGAAGGGAGCCACAGATAAGACAAGAGAGGTCTGCTGCACCCTGTGGGTCAGCTCCCTGGCCAGGGATCGAACTTGTGCTGCAGTGGCTGGGGATAGCTTGATAGTGCTGAGAGTTTAATCCTGTGCCACCAGGGAGGCCCTCCTTTAATTTATTTTTAAGCTTTTCTATGGAAATGTTCAAACATATAAAAAGCTAGAAAGAGCAATACAAAGAACCACTGTTATTCATCACACAAGATGAACAATTATCAATACAATCTTATTTCACTTCTTACCCCTGTACTGCATGATTTTTTTTTAAAGATTTATTTATTTGTGCATACAGAACTGGGGTACAGGCCAGAGGCTCAGGGGCGGTGAGAGGCTTCACCAGAGACAGAGCGGGGAGCAGAACAGGCAGATCTATGAAGTACACTGCTGAGGGGAGCAGCGGGCGGGTCAGGAGAGGTCTGCCACGCCATGTGGTCACCTCTGGGGCAGGCGGGAATCGAACTCATGCGGAAGCGGCTTTAGATTCTCAGTGCTGTGCTTTAACCTGCTGCGCCACCAGGGAGGGCCTGTACTGCATGATTTTAAGGTGAATTTTTAAAATCACATATTTTGGGGGCCCTCCCCTCAGGTGTGCTCCCTGTAGTTCTCCCACCCCAAAGCAGTTTGATACCTCTAGTGTCAGTGAATATACTTGGCATTGATCTCAGTCTTCATGTGCTTGTCAATATTTGTTTTGAGAGCCAGTCTGTGCTCGATCATGGAGAATGATCCATGAGAACTTGAGAAGAATATATATTTGGCTTTGAAGTTGCAGTCCCCTATTCATGTCTGTTAAGTTCATGTGTCTAGAACTTTGTTTCAGACAATACCTTTGTTTATTATTTATCTTTTCTTTTTTTAAAGGCTTATTTATTTATACATACAGAACTGGGGTACAGGCCAGAGATGTGGGGACTGAGAGGATTCACCAGAGACAGAGTGGGGAGCAGAAAAGGCAGATCGACTGAGATACACTGCTGAGGGGAGCAGCAGGGAGACAGGAGAGGTCTGCCGCGCCATGTGGGCCAGCTCCCTGGCCGGGGATCGAACTCGTGCTGCAGTGGCTGGATAGCTTCATAGTGCTGTGCTTTAACTCGTTGTACACCAGGGAGGGCCTATTTATTTTCTTTGTCATTGATCTGTCTGTTGATGAAAGTGGGTTGCCAACATCGCCTAAAACATAGATTTTCTTCAATGTCTGTTTTCTGATTCAAAAGTAATTGCCTAATGCGTGCTGGTGCTTTTCTGTTGGTGATATATATTGATGAGTTCCCAGTGTATTGCCCCTTGATCATGACATAGTGTCCATCCCTACCTCTTGTCACTTTTTTTAGCTGGAAGTTCTATTTTATCTGATAGAAGATGACTGTCCCTGCCTGCCTTTGGGTGCCATAAGCCTGTAAAATTGTTTTCCAACTTTTATTTTCAGTCTATGTTTGTCTTTGGAACTTAGGTGTGTTCCACAGAAGCAGTAGGAGGGTGAATTCTATTTCTTGCTCCAACATGATATTCTGTCTTTTGTTGGTAGTTGAGTCCACTGATGTTTAATTATTGAAATGTGAAGATTTTACTATCCTTGTTATTTTGTGGCTCCTGTTCAGTTCTTTATGTTCATCTTTCACTTTGGTTCAAATCTTGAAGCTCCTTTTTAATATTTCTTGGCGGGGGAGGTTACTGTTTACAAATTCTCAAAGATCATTTGTGTGAGAAGGTCCTTATTTCTCCCTCTTATAGGAAGGAGAGCTTCCCAGCAAAATATGCAAACTGTTATTTTTTGCTGTTACTTCTAATTGTAGTGGTCTCATTTTTTTAGTCTTTAGTTTGTTGTTTTAAATCTGCCATTTTAGTTTGTTTTTTGAGGCCACAGCTGTTACCTTGCACTCCTGTCAGGATCTGTAGCTCTGCTGGGCTGGGGCTCCTCTGAGGAGTTTTTGTTCTGGCATTTGTGTTGCATTCTTCTGTCTCCTTATTTTTGATTCTCCATGGGCTGTAGTGGGAACAGGTTTCTGACTGTTGTCTTTGCACCTGTGTAAGGAATCCGAGGACGGATTGCATGCCGCTCCTCCACCTGGCTGCTCACTCCAAACGTCTCTTACTGTCTCCTTCTACTTCCAATCTAGGATATATATTTTTTAA